TTTCTGTACAGTTATATAATTGCGAGGGAATATAGATTTCAACACTGTATATCAGTTCACCTCTTTGAGAGTTCGCATCATATTCGCATAAGCTTGCCGTACGAGCGGGGTGAAAGGGAGCATTCGATATATCACCATATCGATAGTTATAAAACTCGTGTTCCCTCCAATGACAATTGAATCACTCAACACTTACAATAACGAATAAAAACGTCGTCAACTTAGTATTAGTGGAGTTAACCATTCGAGCCACGCATCAAGTAACGCGCCGCATTTCGATGATGATGAAGATGATGAAGACAGCATTGAGGACAGCTCTGGGTCGTAGGAACTAGCAAGGCGATCGAGTACACGCCGCCTGACATAATGGCATATAATAAAGATTAAGTGATAATAGTTGTAGAGTATTAAACAATGATAAGCATATATTCGTTACACCAATCAGTAGTAGAATTAGCAGTAAACTTTGGAATTAACACGTGAGGAAGTCATCCCGAAATCTCAGCGTGGGAATATATGTTCAGTTTCCTCAACTGAGCTGTCGAGTTTCCTCACTATATCATGGAAATCCACACACGATTTTCGGTAGAAGTGTACAAACCCAAGGATAATTTCCCAAAATTTCCTCACAATTTCCATATTTCTACCAAGACATGATATATTCTCACACTCATACGTTTCATACCGTACCGTAATCTTCTCATCTCTAACATAGAAATATTGAGAATATTTTCCCCTCAAATTTTAAGTGTGCGACTTGAATTTACGGGTGATTACAATAGAGCTGGAATAAGGCTCCAACTCGAGGCCACGACGAACGCATAAGAATGCCAGCTTGCACACTTATCGAGAATCGTTTCACGCTCAGTGCAGAATACTAACTCGAGGGGAAAATACACCCCTCATAAAGGAGTGATAGTTGCCGTATTAACGGTATGATCTTACTTCATCTCAGCGGCTCCCAGCTCCTCCAACGGGGACATCGGATTGTCCATCACCTTATGCAACGGCTCAAGGGCCATCGTGACTTGAATCGACTTTGGCAGATACACTACATGTAACTGACAGAAGTAGCGATGTTGACGACAAGTTGTGATTCGCTGTCTATAATTTCACATTCGCCGACGCTATTCAAGCGTTACGCTAGAGAATGTTATTAATGGAGTTTCACCCGTGATATAAAAAACACTAGTGAAAAACATATTTAACGACTATTGCATACAGCGAATATCGCGTTTTTCACCGAGTTTTACGCCACTCCACGTAAAACGGGTGAAACTCCATTGAACAAGTGTTGAGTCAGTGAGTGCCACACTGGAGTTTCACAACCCGTTTTACTCTGTAAAAAGCGCGATAGTCACGGTGATATGCAGTAGTCGTGAAGTATATTTTTCATATCACTAGGGTAAAACTTAATTGAAAACGTTCATATAAAACCCCACTAAGTCAACTTCGAATCCACAACATATTGCCTACTTGTTCTTTTATTATACCATTGATATCAGGCTTGGAATAATGTGGTCTCCTTTGGTGTTGTCCAGAGCCCCATGCCCAGCCAGATGCACGAAGAGGATTATCACTCATCATAGCCTCGAAGGCCACCCTATTATAACGACGCACATAACCATCGTATCACAAGCATTACGACTTACATGGAAACGATAGTCCTCTGAGCCTCCTTCAAGCACATGTCTATGGCCTGTGCTCGCTGACCAACGTTCGAGGGCACGACTAGAGGTACTTCCGTCTTAGGATGTGTTAATACACCTGATAACACAGCATCTCGAGAATTGTGGAGGACGAGGGGGATAGCATCGCGTATTCATATGTGTATCTCGGGAACAGGTGTCAAGCATCATCCCTGGTGACTCTGGTGTAACCATTAATACGAAAACGCAATGGGTATAACAGATCCGACATGGTCAGGAGTCCTGAGTCAGGATCTCGCTATACAAAATGCCTTTCCTCGGCCTATTCGTATCATCTCAAGCTACGAGCCACACCAATGCAGTCTGCCTGTGGACAATTCCTACTTCTGCAAAACGTGTTCAGCATTTTTTGCAGTGATCTGTGCATTACTCACATTACCATTTTCTCTATTGCAATCATCAACATGCAACTGTTCTTACCATCATCTTCCCCTCGCTTCCTCTTTCCTCTCTTTGAGGGTACTGCCCTCTTCACCCCTTTCATCTTATCTTCGGCAGCATCCACTTGTCTTATCCGAATGGTCAACCTCATCCGAGCTTCGATTTCACGACTAATTGATGCTGGGAACTTGAGGGCAACGTTCATCCCACGTGATGAATTAGCCGGGTATCTTGAGGTTCAAGATGGTAAGATACGGATGAGGCCCAATTCTTGCCCACTCCCTATGCTAGAATATATACCGTATTGACGATGATTGGGGCCGCTATGCCAGAGGCCCACTATTAAGATATCTATTCGCCGAAAAGGGTCACTATGCCAGAGGACTATACCATATTATGATATCTGTTTGCCGAATAGGGCCGAAAAGTGTCTCACATTGCCGCTATATATTTGCTGCTCCCCATACTATTATCAATGGTAGCATCGCGGAGTTCCGAGCTTCTAAGGGCTGCGGTTGTGGAGTGATGTAACACTTCAAGATCGTAGGGAAAGAGGAACACCTGAACGAAGCTATTCATAAACAGCGATGGCGTTTCAAGCTGTTTCAATATTTACAGTTCCATCGTGGAGTTATTGCACAGTTTGTATGATATATGGTACATAAGGTCGAATACACGTGTTGATGGCCGCTGAAAAACTTAAGGGGATCCTTGCTGATTTTTTAACGCTACTAACCAAGTTTTTCCGCGGATTACTGCCATATAGTGAGAAAACTCGTCAACTCGGCGGAGGAAATCAAAAAATATTACAACAGTGTAGTAGGTGGAAATCATCCCAATCACTACCTGGACTATAGCACCTCGACGCAGCATTTGCCACTTCGTCCCACTGCCGTTGTCACGCAGATCTTTGAGGATGTTACCAAAGGCTCGGCATTGTTCTACTTGAGACGATGCTGCTTGCTTTAAAGTGAGGGATATTTGATCACCTAGCAAACAGAAACCAAGACATGGTTAATAATTATAATAACAAGAGATAACTCTTATCCCACGAGTGGTAATTCGCCTCGCCAAAGAGAACTGAAATCGGAGTCTAAAAAGCGTTGAAGAATACGGATAGTCCTGAGGCATGTGGTCGGTGATTTATTCGAAGTCGGTGATATCATCAACCCGCAAGTAGCGGGTGAACCATCGTTCATAACAACTCTAAAAGAG